CCCCCGGCGCGAAGGACAAGCCGCCGCCGGGCGCCGGGGCCAGAGCAGCGGGCGGCGCCAAGGCCGCTCCGGGCCCCAGGAAGGCGGCGCGCGCGGCGCCCGCCGAGCCGCTGCCCCGGGTCGGGAAGCCGCCGCTCGGGGCCGAGCCGCTGCCCGCCGCTGCCAAGGGCCGCAAAGCCAAACGCGGCTCCGGTGTGGTCCCCGCCCGCGCCTCCGGTCCCCGGGTTCCCATCGTCCCGGTCCCCGCCGTGATCCTCGCCGTGACCCCCGCGGCCGGCTCCCCGGCCCCCGGCTCGCGCATCAGCCACACCGACAGCAGCTCCGATCTCTCCGACTGCCCCTCCGACCCCCTGTCCGACGAGCAGCGCCTGATCCCCGCCGCCAGCAGCGACGCCGAGTCCGGCACGGGCTCCAGCGACCGGGAACCCCTGCGGGGAGCCCCCACGACGAGCCCCGCGGCTCGGGGGGCGCCTACGGGCAGCCCCGAGCCCTTCCCGCTCCTCGCCGCGCCCCCCGCCGCCTGCCTCGGGGGTCGGAGCAGTCCGAGCGGGGTCCCCGCGGGGTCCCTGGGGCCCGGCGTGGCGGAGGATGCCGGGGGGTGCGCTCCGCCAGAGCGAACGGTCCCCGGGAACCCCAAGGAGCACGGCCCGGGCGAGCAGCCCCGGCTGGTACCGGCGGCGGCGGCGGAGGAGCTGCTGCGGGAGATGGAGGAGCTGCGCTCGGAGAACGACTATCTCAAGGTGCGCAGCCCACCCCGCCGCCGGTGGCCTGGAGGCGACCCCACGTCTGGGTGCGGGCTGGAACCCGCGAGCCCCGCCTCCCGGTCCCGAAAGCGCTTTCTCCTGCTGTCGTTCACTTTCCTGCCCCCCGCACACACCGGGCGCTGGGAACTGGAGCCAAAACTTCTGGAAGGAGCAGCAAGACCTGTGGGTCCAGGCTGCTTTCCACCCACTTAGCTTGTTTCTAGAAGTCTTGCTGCTTTCCGCGGATGCCTCTGCCCCTGTTGATGCTGCGTTGATTATAGAGTGTCGGCTCTGATCACTTTTTGGATGTGCAGTCGACCCCCAGACCCCTAGCCTGTGGGAGCGGGTTTTCCCCAGCCGAAGGGCTCTGGGCCGGGCTCCGTGGGAGGGGAGGGGGGTTCGGAGGGTGTGGTGGCCCAGGCTGCAGACTCGCCTGCCGCTTCTCCTAGTTACAGAAAGACGGGCGCCCTCCGTGTCTCTCCCGGGGCTCACAGAGCAGACAGAGGGCCTCGGCGTTTTCAGTGATAAACCTGCAGTTCAGGAGTCTCTTGAGTGCGGCCTGAATGGAGGGACCACTGTGTCCTGCTGGCCGGTCCTTTGTAAGCGTCCACCACCTGGGTTTTCCGTGTCAGGAGAGGCCACTTGATGCCCTTCTCACGCCGGGGCACTTTCGAGGGAATCGCAGCCTCTGCGTCCTATCTGAGCACTTGGCGGCGGGGCCCGCTCTAAGAGGCTTCTGGGTCCTGTGAGCTTTGGGGCACAAGTCTGACTCCATCTTTTCCAGGAGGAGGAGGGCTGGCGCTGCAGGAAAGAGGATTTAGGCAGTGTTGGGGGTGGGGGTAGGTCACCTGAAAGTAAGGAGGGCTGTCTTGAAAGCAATTGTTTTAATTTATTGTGATACGCAGGTTGGTAAATAGCTCCACTGGTGTAAATCTCCTGTTTCTGTTAAGACAGTTAAATATATGTTTGCTCCGAAACCTCCTGTATCAGTGGGTTTTGTGATTCGCCCTGTGTTCTCAGCAAATGCTGACGGTCCCTGATGGAGGCCAAGTGTTGGCTGGTGGGACCAAGGATGTGAGCTTTTAAGGTGCTTGGTGATGAAGTGTGCAGTTCAAACTGGGATCAGAGCAGTGAACTGCTGAGTATTCCTAAACTCCGGCTGCAGAAGCTGCTCTAACTCACTGAGCCCAGTGGTTATTTTATCCTGTTCAAAGAGGCAGAGGAGGAGAGTGGTGGGGAAAGAGAGCAGATGGAGACTTGGAGTAAGACGTTTCAAATAGTGCATTTTTTTTTTCTTAATTCATTTATTTATTTATTTTTGGCTGCGTTGGGTCTTCGTTGCTGCGCGGGGGCTTTCTCTAGTTGTGGCGAGCGGGGGCTACTCTTCGTTGTGGTGCTTGGGCTTCTCATTGCAGTGGCTTCTCTTGTTGTGGAGCACGGGCTCTAGGCGCACGGACTCAGTAGTTGTGGTGTGCAGGCTCAGTAGTTCTGGCTCGCGGGCTCTAGAGCGCAGGCTCAGTAGTTGTGGTTCACCGGCTTAGCTGCTCCGCGGCATGTGGGATCTTCCTGGACCAGGGCACAAACCTGTGTCGCCTGCATTGGCAGGCAGATTCTTAACCATTGTGCCTCCAGGGAAGTCCCTGTCACTGACTCTTGTGTAATAGACAACAGTGAAATTCAGAGGTGTGGAAGAGAAAGAGCCACGGTATCATGTGTAACTCTGTTGTGAAATCAGCACTTTTGTAAATTTGCCCTGGAAGTAAGCTCCCTGAGGACAAGAAAGATGATCTTACTGAATTTTGTAGCCTTGGCTCTTAGCCTAATCCCTGACCCACAGCGTTTCTGATTGAATGATGTTTATCCAAATCATGACAGCTAAGTAACAGAAAATTAAGGGTTTTAAAAATTTTTTTTGAAAAGAGGTTTTCTCATTACATCTTTAATCTTAAGGTAGGCAGTCATTTCGGGGTTCATTCCTAGATGACTGGTTATTTGCTTTATTTTTTCACGTTAGATTCTCAATGAAGGAAATAGGTGTCTGACCCTGGCACCTAATCTGATGTATTTGATATTTCAGTGAATCTCACAGAAACATAGGGTATCATTGTTATATTTATCATAATCCCAATTTCACAGACAGGGATGCTGAGAGCTGAGAAAACTTAGTGACTTGCCCAAGGTCATCCAGCTAGTAAGTGATGCAGCTTGTATTTTCCCTGCCCCCAGACCTCTGTTCTTTCCCTGCTCCAGGCTGCAACCCTATTTCCATGAAGGCTCCTTTTCTGAGCACACGCTTGCCTTAGAGTTTATTAGCTCAAAATGTTCCCAGCGTTTAGCTTTCCTAGGGGCCCTCTTTTTAGGTGAAAGGGCCACCAAGAACACCTCTCCACTAGCCTGTGGACAAATGGTCCCATAAACCCCACTGACAATGTTTAATTTGTGGGAAATGTCAGTTGCCATTTCCTGTGGAGAAAAGGTCACAGCCGACCATTTATGATGCCTGAATCCATCTCCCAGCCTTTCCTCTGACAGGAGAGAAGCGGAGATAGAGGAGGTCTGGGGAGGCTAGGAAGTCAGAAGAATGATCACCAACACATGTGTGAGTTACGTGATTGGCTATTCAAAGCTTAAATGACAGTAGTTCAATGTGGGAAAGAAAGACAACAACCCTGCTAGACTTTTCTAAAGGCCAGCGAGCCCACCCACTTGTGCAAAATGGGGCTGGGAGCATCAGTGACCTCCTGGGCAATGACGTTTGCTGTAGGCCTGCTTTGCACGTGAGGTTTAGAGTGTGTGCATTATAAGCCCAAACGTCTCTTCTTGTTGCTCTTGTCCTCACTGGTACTTCTTTTGATGGTAGATGAAAGCGAGCCCGTGACCTAATGCTTTCTTAGGGAATGCTGCACAGAACTCTCGCGATTAGAAAGGAGACTCCACCCAGAAATTTTACTTTGATATATTGTGGAGGATGGTGACCACAAGTATTACAAAGCTTTCCTGAGTCAGTTCTGTCACCATTACTGTATAAGACGGTTTCTGAGCTAGAATGACCTAAGAGTAATCCAGGCAGAAAACTAAGGCCTCAAAACTGTAGGAGGATGTGTTGCTGATCAGGAAATTTGAGGGGAATTCTCTTGGTTTTTACCAGCCTGCTGTATTTTCTTAAAAATCAACTGGCAACAGAGAAGTACCCCCTTCTGCTGTGTGGAGCTGTACGGGGCCATCCCTGACCCTGCCTTCCTACTGTCATCACGGAGCAACGTGGTGACTAGGTGAGAAGTGCATAATTCAGGTAGCTGGCTTTTTGTCTGAAGGCACAGTCAGAAAAGCACTCTTGGCCCTTGCCCACTGATGAATTCACACGTGTTCCGAAGGCTTTAGGAATTAAGGTGCGAGATTGAGTTCAGTTATTGAAAGGCATTTGCTTCTTTCTCAGACCAGACCCGGGCACAGGTTAGGGATGAGGGCGTCCACGAAACCCTGCTGGAGCGTTCCTTGCCCGCCGCCCCTGCGATTTTGCTCGATTGCTCCAAGACAGTCAGACAAGCCTTAGAGCTCATTGTGAACATATTAATTATGTTCTCTGTTCTCACGGGCTTTTCAGGAGGGTTTTAATCGCGTTGAGTTTATTGGCCTATTTTGAAAATGCTTCTCGCGTTACTGGGGATGCTCGCACGACACCATTCCCCCTGCCCTCAAATAGTGTACCCCAAAGTTCCCGTGTCCTGTGGGGCCCGCGAGGTCAGTGGGGGAAGGGCTGCTGAGTTTGCTCTGCCTTTTCAGTTACTTCAGAAGAATTATTTCTGGTTAAAACAAAAGTCAGCGCTAGCTACAGAGCAGGTACTATTGGATTCTTGGAGAGGAGTGATTCCTTAGGGAGACCGCTGGTGAGGCCATTTGGGTTGAGAGGTTGCAGTGCATCAGCGCCGATCCAGCCTCACCATCCTGCGTCTCACTTGGAGTCTTTGGAGTTTCAAGGTCTGAAAGGATTTGGTTAAATCTGCCTGCGCAGAGCCCAGATGCTCAGCCGCCTGGAAAGGGTGGAGGTGGGGTGGACACGGAGGCAGGAATGAACAGTTCTGAGCTTGAAGCGCTGCAGCCCCTCCCTCCGTCCCCGGCCCCTGGCCCTCCTCCCTTCTTCTGGAAGGTTAAAGCAGACAGTATCCCTATTCTTTCCTGACCTTCTGCTTTCCACACCCACTCTTTATTCAGCCTTCAAAGCGGCAGTAATCACCTTAGGTGGCAAGATCATGTAGACCAGGGAACACAGGGCCGTAGCTGCTGGATGAACTGTGCTTGGTAAACAATGGGAGGGTCCCTGAGCCCTCTGAGTCTCAGCTGGGACTCTGCAGAGAACAGTTCCATTGTCCGGGGGAAGCGAGGTGGATTCATTGTATATTACAACAGAGGATAAGGTCTGTAACTCCCAGAAGAGGGAATTATTGCAACAGTAGCCAGCTGTGACTGCTCTCACTGTCTAAGTTGGGTCTGTTTAGGGAGGGGTGATTAAAATAGGACTAGTTATTGATTTCAGGTTGTTTAAAGGCGATTAAGATCTGATAAGATTGTCAGTATAATCAAGAGTTTTCCCCGCTTTCACCGTGTGGATTTGGTTTTTATGTTGGTGGA